GCGCTGGATGCACAGCGAGGGTGGGAGAGGTTTGCTACGACTGGTCAAACCAGCAAACACCTTTGTAGGCTGATCAGAACAAATCTACATCCTGTTATTTCCATTTCAAAACAGACGTCTGTTGGTAAATTAGGAAGTCCTGCATTAAGTCAGACGATGAAACGTTGTCACCAGGTTGTGTCACCGTCCTCCTGCTGTCTTTTCTCTCTGTTCATAATGTTTCCCGTGCACCGTGGGAACTTCTAAGAGAATGATTTCTGTGTTTTAAAGTTTGGAGGATCTGAAGATCAACAGTAAGGACAGAAACAGGCGTTATTGTGAGACGGTGTAATTGTACTTAAATGAGTGTATATGGGCCTAGAGGGGCAATCACACTGACTGCAGTAAAAAGAGGAAACTAATGCACCGAGCAGTCTGCTGGAAGAGTTGATGCAATGAGATGAGTGGACCAGCAACAGTGCATGCTAACCCTAATGCCCCCCAGTAAATGTTTCCAAGCTAACTGCTGTAGCTGCTGGATCAGTGAGTGGAAACTGTACGTGGCTCTCAGGGTGGAGTTTGGCAGTCGTATCTGCTTGTGTTTGTCTGCGCAGCGTGATACAGTTTACAGGCTTTTACACCAGATTACCATCAAAACTGCTTTCTTGTACGACTACGTTAATGATGTTAATGCAGCAGCGGGGGGAGCTTGAAGTGAAGAACATAAAGAACCAACGCAGAATAAACTTATTCTACATTCGTCTCGCTTCACCTCATGTGCACTTTTGTCCAAACTGATTGTAAAATAGATTTTTGCACCTTCAGGCTTCAAATGCTGTTTGACAGATTCTGCTTTTGGTTGTAACATCACAAACGTCCTCGGGCTGCTGACTCTTAATGGCTGCTCATTGAGTTCGAGTATGTATTTGTTATGCACTGATCAGCTGTTTAGCAGTGAGTGCAGATGAGGAAGGACGGGCTGAGGTCTGAAGGGAAACGATGACAGCTGGGCAGCCGTGTGAGTGCACGGTGACAGCCCCCCTCTAAAGGTTTAGCGTGGGGCAGCTTGATGTGTGCATGTGTGGCAGATGTGTTTAAGGCTTTCTGCATGACCCTGTTTATCCGTCAGCCCTGACAGTATTAACTGCAGCGCTGCATCCACTGAGCATGTGCCAGCAAGCTGGGAATCCAAAACGATCCCTCCCGCTGCTCTTTTCTTTGGAATCTCCTCATTTTCCCTCTGATCCTTCACTGCCCTATTTTCATTCTGTCTTTTTATCTCTCTTCAGCCAATCACAGCACTCCTTTTCTGAGTCGTACCCAAGCCTCAGTCTTCTGTCCACAGTGCTTCACACCGTCACACCG